CCTCATCTGATAACGAGCCAACCACTTTTCTGACAGTATGTTGGAGTGGAATGGGGACGACAACTCTCCACTTGTCGCTGGTGCCTCCTGTGAATCTCCAATTCTCGCCGTAAACTCTGCCGGGCCTGAACTTGCACCCTCACGAACTAGGAGGCCTCATACTGCCATTTAGCCTACGGAATTCCTCAACACCAAAGGCAGCGCAAAGAAGTCAGGCGAGGCTAATCTGCAATACACTCTTCCAGTAAATAATTTTCCGAAATTTGAACACAAACCTCGACTTGTCTTGAGGCATGAGTGAGAGGATTCAGAAGAAGAATAGAAAGGATAGAGGTGCTCTTAGGCCTACGTTGATCTGCTGTTTCTCACTGCCCGGATTTTTTAGAACGCTTTAGAAGGGTAGCTATATCTTCAGCTTTTGTCATGCTGTCTACAGTAAGGGATCCCTGCACTCAGCAGTTTTGCGAGTTTCCTCGAATGCCATACACCTACAAGCAGCTGTTGTTCCGTTACTTGTAGATGTTATGTATGTTTATTGTACTTCTTGAGTCATAGACTATCTCTTATAAAATGAGGTCACCTAGTGGTTTAATACTGACTCTGCTACTCGTATGTAAATGGAGTATGGTCTATATATACTACGCTTGTAGATAATTTATTATGGATACTAGTAAATATGCCTCGCACTTTATTGTTTGCTAGAAGATAGAAAGATATACAGACAGAAGATGGTTGTGTGTGCTCGACTCATTATACTACGGACCGCACATAAGTTACTCTTCTATGACCCTTGCAGCTTCACAACATACTCATCCCACCAATCATAGCGCGGCTATTCCTGTTTGTGCAGAAGTCAACAATGACATCCTTATTAAGCGCCATAGCATAAAGCTTATGCAGGTATGCATAAACAATTCTGTGCTATTCCTAGATCACAACACTATCTAGCATACTGGGCTCCTCTCTGACCCAGGCCATACCTTGTACAGTGCTCCTTGCCTCTTATGTTCCTTGAAAGATCATAGATATATTGCCCGTAATGATCAGCCATTCAGCTCAGTATTTACCCATGGAATTCCCTTAGTTACCGAAGCAAGGGAAGATTAGAAGGCCAAAAGGCTTATATAGGCAAGTGGTTTAAGACCTCTAAAGGCTTCATTGTTGCATGGAAAGTTTGGAGGTAGAGAAGAGGATATAATACCCGAGGCACATGTGTTCTTGGCCTGCAGGTAGAGACCTGTGTGATCTATGGATTCATCGACTTCAAATGAGAAATACTAAAGATAAAATATTACTGGGGACTGATTTTCGTACTACTTGCTCAGGAATTGCCTCAGCTATGATCACCTCTATTAAATATTACGTAAAGCCTGCTTAGGGTGTCAATCGCAAGATTTGCACAAGTCTTCCCTCACTCAGATCGATTTTTAGCCTCGTTGCCTACCTACACAGAAGATTCGAGGAAAATTATGCTTGGCATTGTCGAGAAATAAAAGAATTATTTAGATTACACACCTATTATTTGTGGATTCGATATACTCTTATTCTGGCATGCCCAAAGGACTTTACCTGAGGAGTAATCTGACGGGTCTACCAAGTTCTCGTCAGGATACTACACGCGACCAAGACACAAGAGGCCAGAGCGTTGCAGCGATGAAACCGGCAGGGCTGATTGTTGTTTCAGGGCCCAAGTGGACGACAACATCAAATTATGTAGAATTGTATAATATGAACAAATGCTTGGTGGTCAGTACAAGCTGCTTTCTTCTGAATTCAGCTATTCGCTGCCAATAATTCGGCTTTCAGAAGTTGCCGAGATATTTTCTCTCAGCAAGATAGTGCAAGTAATCAAAGTTTTCATAGCAAGAGATACTCTAAGCCAGCCGGTAAACAGGAATCAGATTCATCAGTTCAAACTGAGAGGTGAGTTGTCTGGTCTCACATATTTACTTCCAAAATTTGCTCTCGTATTAGGCTTTCGCTACGAGTGAAAATTTGTGAGACCTATGGAACAAGTCTCCTAGGGCTAGGGCTGTGACTAGAGATGCATACTTTTCCGGTTCACTCTACGCAGACGAGTGATCATTAGAGTAGGTGGTTTTAGCAGCAGTAGCACGAAGGACGGAACCCAACACCTGTCGGTGGCGTCACCTACAAACCTCCAGCTCTCACTATAGAGTCTGCAGAGCCAAGATTGAGTAACAACTTTTCAACTTTGTGCTGAGTTATCTCCTCCTCCGTCAAAGATACGCTTCCGATAACTCATAAGACGACCAAGACGACGATAATACTGCTGGGAATGAGGAAAGATAATGCGGTACCAAACGCAGTAACGGTAGTCAGAGATGCCCAGGTTATATCACAACATGTGCCTCCCATCGGCGAGCGAACAAAAAACCACGAAAGCAAAGTAAAAGATCTTTCCGCTCCCAAGAAAAGCAGATTTTGACTCTTCAGATATATCGTCTCTTCTGGCCGTCAATTCCGAATATCCTAGCCAGGAGACCATCTGAAATATATCAGTTACCCGACGACCCCACGTCCGTAACGACTTTTGGATGCTAGGCTAGGCTTCTTTACGGCAGTCACTCTCGACCAAGACTTTGTTAACATCCTTTCACGGCCTTCGGGTTTTCCTGCGGCATGAATCAGGGGAGGGGTAAGGAAGCCAGTAAGGTTGAGAGACGCTCTCAGGTATACACAGGTCTGCCGCGCCCAGCTGGCCGGCCTCTTCGTCATAGGAGAGCCCCACATCCTGTGGTTTTTGAGAATTTCCCTGCAGCTACACACCCGCAAATGGCCATCGTTTCGTTGGCTAGAGAGGGAAGATAATGAAGAGCACACGGCTCGTCTAAGCGTTTGATTGAATGAAGACCTGTGGGGGTATTAATACTGGAAAGATGTCGTGAGGGTGGAATAGGAGGGAGTACACTACCCGTGGCATAGATACTCCCGGCCTGTAGTCAGAAAGGACCTACATGTTCTTACATAGTCATAGACTCACTGGGATAATAAACCCTCGCCACTACAGGCATTTACACTCTTGATTATTCCCCTTTACCTGCTCTTTCGAGCCAATGATACTGTAGTTAAAAATTGTTAGTGGCCGGTTCCTTTCACAATAATGTTTGTTCTCTGTGATGTCATTTTGTGGCTAGATAATCAATATTCGACAGTTTTTGTAGACGCTTGGAAATAGATATTGGGTTAATTGATATTTTAGAGTCACGATCAACTAGTTTTTCGAGTCTAGAATATGACAGCTAGATGGTAGAGAGCTTTTAAGAGCTGTTGGTCGAAACTCCACTTGTGCATCTTTGAGCTAAGAATAATGAGGTTTTATCTCTTCTGCAGCATTGACGCTGAAATAGGCTATGATTCTGTCAAGTATACACAAAACCTCTTTCAGGCCACCCAAAAAAGAGCGGATAACTGTTTTCTTCCTCATGAAGTCAATAATACTTTGCCATGATAATCGTGCGCGACTTATTTGCAAAGTAGTTTTACGCAAGGGTACTTTTGTTGCACGCATCTTCACCTGCAACAACTTTGTTACGCTAGTTTTGCGTCTTCCAATCGGTCTATGAGTAAGTGGTACTCTTGACTTGAGCTTTTGTGATATTGTGTTGTAATCTTTCAAATGGATCGTTCTGACTCAGCTTTGCGTTTTTCTTGTAATGAGTTTCTCCTCGGGTCTGAACATTATTTGTCAGTTCTAGGGGTGGGGGGGGCTACTGGTAAATTCAACACATAGTTGTCAGTTTAAGGACAGCGCTGGGGATAAACTGGCTCGGGACAAGACAAGGTGAGACAATTACTTGTCCAGGTGTAAGTTCTGGCACTCCCATAGCTACACACTTGCCTCGTCGGGTTTAAAGTTTGTAGGGAGAATCATGCATAGGCGTCTTCGAAAGTTCCCCTACAATAGCCGATTAGTCAGTGGATATCTTTCGGGATAGGTAGATGGTAGCATCCTTCATGGCAGTGAAACGTTGGAGGAGGGGGTAAGAGGACCCAATCTAACCTCACGCAGGGCCCCGGTCGATAATTTTTTCGGGGCATGTACGACAACGACAATCGCCCCAGAAATTGGACTTCAGAGGGGCCCAAAGGCGGAAACATGGATGAACTCTTGAATTATTGACTGAACCCCCACAACATTGCAGCAATTAATAAAATCGTGAGCGTCTACATGGACCGAGTCTTCGCAAACACAAGCGTGTGACTCTAGCCCGTCTCTGGACGCAATTTGGAATACATTCATAGAATCTGACCGAAAATGACCGAGCCCTAACAGTGAAATTGTCCCACCTGCGCCGTTGTTACCAGTTCTCGAACATTAAAGGCAATTCACGTGATGACAGACGAATGTTTGCTCACCTGTACTGATGAATCGCCGTGCCCTGGAATCCAACACAGACAGGTCTCAGGGATCAATTGCCGCAACAATTTGAGGGATTGAGAAGTAGATGTTACCAAAATCGAGATGAATGATCTAATTCAAAGTCCACTGTCCACTGTCACTGTCGCCACTCGTACATTGAATTATTTTCTATACTAAGGGATCGGATAAAACACCAGATCGCTTGCACTTTTTCGCTGATGGCAACCAGCGCACGAGACCTGATTGGTGGGATTCCGGCTGACACTCACTAGCTAGACAACCATTTCTCCCACCCCCCTTCCCCCCCCAAAATATGCCAGCCAGCCCATTCAAGACGATCGCCTTGTATTATTTTAGCCCAGCATGAAGAAACTTAAGCTCTTCCGTCGCCAGATAAGTCCTTCCCTCCGATCGTTGCTCAACTTCGCAACACCATCTATCTTCTTATCATCAGATGCAATCCACAAAAAGTTATATTCTTTCCATAGTTCTGGCATTCCTCCAATTCTCAAAGAATTGAACAAAGAGTCTTTCGAGTTAAATAAGACTCACTCGTCTGTACAATTTTCTCTTCCACCGACTCTTTTCCCGTCTCTTTAAATCACCTTCACCAACAATGACTTCGTCCAATAAAACCTCGACGGCCGTCACGGCTGCACGAAGAAAAACCTTCAAGGGTATGCTCATCCTCAAGATGTCGCCCAAGTATTTACAAAGATTCAAACCGTCCTCCACACCTGATGAAGAAAGTACCTCGAGGGAAATTTCTGTCAGCTCAAAAGTCGAATCTACTTCAACTTCATCTAATCCTGAAATTACACCCTATTCCAACTCTCAAACACCTGTACAACCTGGATCGCCCAATTCTTTGATGCCACCTCCATCAGAAAGTAATAAAAAAAAGGGAACAAAAAGATCGGTAGCTGCCGCGCTAGGAACGGCAGGAATCTCTCAGCCCAAAATCAGGGGTAAACCAGGGCCAAAGAAGAAGGCAAGACTGTAAGTTCTCCAAAACCAACGATAACTGCTTCCAAGCTTTCTTGATACAACTTACATGCCATCAAGAAAGTAAGAGGCCAGAAAAATAGGCCGACTTATCATTCAAGAGCTAACCTTAGAATCACAGGGAAGATGGAACAATTGATCATTCAAACGCAACAACTCGAGCTCCAAATGGTACGTTGATTAAACTAGGACCAAAGGCCAATCAAGGCGCGATTAATGCAGGTCTACGTGCCTTGGATCGATCCGGGAAGCCTTGTCGTAGATGGGGCAAGGGAAATCTTAAGCTCAAAAGCTTTACTGGCGTTTGTTGGGAGATACCTCGATGGGAAGCTCATCATGGGGTAGTTGCCATCAATGTCTCTGGAAACACATGTGTAGGAGACAGTCGCAAGCCAAAAAAAGAGATAAGTGAAGTGGAAAGTGAACAAAGCGAGAAGAGCAACTTAGCCATGGATATTGAAATAGGAAGTACGGCCAGCCATCCAACCAGCTCACCCCCTCACAGAGTCTCACCTGGTGAGGTGAATGATACGCCTATTCAGTTTTCTAAAGTAGCACTATCAACATAGACCGCAACGGCTCTATTAACTTCTTCGGTTGGATTCTAGTGTTGGGATTATACAACAGGCGTTTTTAGGAATTAGGAGTCGAGCTTATCACCTGCAAAGAACTTAGTGGAATGGGGATTTAGGAAATCTAATTTTTGTCAGTTTGTATGTACGAAAAATCCCCAGTCTCACGCTACCAGGACATGAGCATAAAAATGGGTATGCTTGATGAGTAATTCAGCTTGGAATTCACTATACAGAATTGTAATATAATCTAACTCTTTTAATTAATACTTACTGGGTATTCATGTTTCATGTAAGAATGAATACGGGGATCGAAGCTTGAATACCATGTCAAACGAGATAGCTTAGCAAGTCACAAAACTTGAACAGGCCACAGTCTCTTTCGCCAATCTTTAGATATTTCAAAAGTCACAGCGACACTATGGTAAGCCTTGGGATTAAAGGATTAATTCAAATGAGAAGTATTGATTTGGAAAGAACTATATAGACTTACATCGGAGTGCTAATTTCCGCCCACAAGGGCGCTAAAATTTTTATCTTATTAGTTTTTGAAAGATGTAGGTGGGGTAAATGGACCTGATTGGTGTTGTATTAGAGGCTCAGGGGATGTTCGCTGAGTTAGAATTGACGGAAGGAAAAGGAGTCTGGTCCTGGAAGAATCCCACGATCAATAATACACCCTACTGCATTAGAGGCTTCTCATAGCTTCAATAACATTCAGGAGATAACCATACGATATCTCTGACATCTGTTAGAAGCTCAGTCGCCAGAAGTCACATATAAATATAACAATCTAGAAAAGGCTCGTCGCACTTGTCAAAATCATCGATAATGGGGAACTATAATAGATCTACCGATCAAATCAAAAATTGAGCATCAATTTAAAATTGACTGTCATGAATGATCAGAAGCAGCACCACGGTCCGCGAATGTTGTATCATGGTTATACTAATTTCTACCATCCAAGTACTATCATCAAACTTGATTCCCCGTACTTTAACACTGTGCTTCAGCTCTGCAGATTAGGGAGCTGGAAAAGTAGATTTTCCGAGGAGAAATTTTATCAGCACATCAGATCTGCCAATAGATAGCAAAATAGACGCAATTACTGCTCTAGTCTTCCGCCAACATTTCTAGGCTCCGAGTTTGGCTAACTTAAATCAGTCGGTGATTTTCTCAACAGGGTACGGGATAGACTGTTGATAGCAGGGACACGCAAATCTGCGGCACCTGTGGTGTAGGTAGATGAGACCCTTGAAGCCTTAACGGTACACGCGACGTTAGAATTAAATCTTACGGTTATGGCAATGGAAAAAAGAATGCCGGCCTCGGGAAAGGTAGTATAGAGGGGTTTTGGGGAGCTACTCGCAAAACGTCTCCATAGACGATACTAGGAACAGGAAGACGACCAACTTACTCTTCAGTTGTCGTACCGCTAGCAACAAAATTACTTGTACATTTATGAGTTCAAATAGCAGACAAAGGACAGCCAGCTGAGCCGCCTTATAAGGCAAAACTACACATTGATCTAACATGCGCCGCAAGACAACTGTGGAGCAACAATGTGAAGGCGTTCGTACAGTCGGTCTCCCAACGAGACCCTATCTTCAAAGTGGCTCAGCTAGAATTCTGCATATTAAAGTAGAATTATCCTGTTAAAATTCTTGGTGTGCCACTTAGGATAATCACAAATAAAGGAAAAAATGCAAAAAGATGATGGGGACAGAAGCTAGGATTTCTGGAATTTAAATCATTATGGTGAGATATCTTTTCCATGGTAACAAGCACCACTGGATGAAGAGCAACAGTTATGCCCAGGGTTCAGTTATAGCAAGTCTACTGTCCTAGGCTTTTCAATTCGAAGTGGTAATAAATGGTTTTTTGATATATTTAATGCTTCAAACGGCCTATTTCTAGGCAACCCGAGCGCAAATCAAGCAGTGGTTTAACTAACTCCAATGGGGGTACACTCAAGCATCTAGCAGAGACTGCCGGAAGAAATCGGTTCTTTTCTACGATTGCGGTATGGCTTACATATCGGTGTAGAAGAGGGCGTGATTGAAGGACATGATATAAAATTGTGAAAAGAATAGCAGACCCAAGGAGTAAGGAATCTCCACCCCTAGAATTACTAGATTAACAGATTGCAAAACTAACAGACGATCAAGGGTTCCCACTGATATCCTACCTAGAGGTTGAGAGGGTTGACAGAGTACCAATCCCGCGAGGGTAAGCAGAGGATACCTAGATATAATTCAGATCGTAAACTCTTGGATTGGTGGCCCACAGCACTCTCTGTAGGTTAATTTTAAGAACTGCAGGATAAAATTAAACGGGAGGATGGGTTTCTATCAAAAGTTTTCCCCCCATGTAAACGGTCATTTTAGATAATAGATGACTACATGAGCCCATGTGGCAATACATTACGCTAGTTAAATCAAATTCAAGATACAAAAATGTCCGGGCTAAGAGAGCCTGATACTAAGAAATTCAATTCATGATACGTGATAAATCTATAAATGGCATGAGTGGATCGATACCCAGCGCTCGCCAGAGGATTTATCTGTCACGTCTCTCACAGGGAACAGTAGTTTAGTAGTACTTGTCGAATTCTTTTCATTTTCACCAGAGGCTTCACGATTCCTGAAACACATGAACAGCAAATACCCGAATTACTGTACAGTTTTGGGGGACTATTCTCAGCAAACGTCAATGGTGTGCCCTACGAGCCTCCAGCTCTCATTGCAGAGTCTGCCGAGCCGAGTCTGAGTAACGCCGTCCTCGCTTTGACGAAGATTTTCAATCGCTTTAGCGATCTGCATTATCTTCATCTCTTAATACATCCCCCTATCACTAATATCATGAAGCTAACCACGATCAGATCAGATGATAGGGTCGAAGCCCTACTCATTACTAACTCTTGATTGTGTAGTAAAAGCCATCCGATGAATTTCCGGAGCGTATCCAATACCCGATATGGAGATGGTGAATTGGATCAAGTGGGCCTCGACTGTTACAAAGGAGGGAGATATAGATGAATATGTGCACCTCAGGTGGTCCTGATGTCTAGGCCTCGCCTGGCTGGGGCTGCAGGTTTTTTGAGACTCTTTCCCGCGCACGCAGCTTCCATTGCTACCATTTTATTTTTTTTGAGTAGAAGGTTCCGTGGAAAAGGTGGCCGAATTTCACGGGTAAACATTGAGCTGAATGGCTATTCATCACGGGCAATATATCAATGATCTTTCAAGAAACGTGAGAGGCAAGCAGCACTGCATAAGGTGTGGCCTGGGCCAGAGGGGAGCCCAATGTGCTAGATAGTCATAGAATCAAGTAGTACAATAAACACACACACACACTTACTCACTCATGTATGAACGAAGCTGTGAAAAAAACGGCATACTCCCATACGCAGAAGCTTGTGGACTTTCACAACTTTATGCAAATGTATTCTGAGGTGCCTAACTGCGTATAAATCCCTGGCTTGCATCCCCTCGGAATCTCTATCTACTGAAATGTCGGACCTAAACATGCCGACAGGGACTCCAGGTTTGTGCCACAGCCATCACCCTCCTTTTATGTTGAATCAAGTGTAGCTCCAACCAATACTTACATGTATGGCATTCCAAATATATCTGGAGCAAAATATCATCTGCTCTCACTTAACATAAGCCCTAGTTTGTCACCTGTGGAAGCGAGATGGAGCCTAGCAGTCGAAATACTCAGCTACCCAGTTTCTCAAGCGCATTTGGATCTCTCGTCCCACCGGAACAGAACCATTCTATGAACAAGCAGTCAGATAGTTTCTTTATACCATCATACTTGAAAGGTTCAATCTATGCTCAGAAGCTCGGTGAGGCTCGAAATAAAAAAAATTCGGCCCAGAATGACTGCCATTCAGCGCCAACATCGCAGTCCAGTTCTCGCTCAACCAACAAGAATTCCGCCAATGCGCAGACGAAATTGGCGCCCTCACATCGTGGCATGACTTATGACTTGATTGAAAAGATACCTTGTTCGGAAAATGAACGAGTTCCACCCTTGCCATCAGGATGGTCCAGTGACGACAAACAACCTGCACTTGAAGTGTTATCTGATGGTTTCGAGTTAAAGCTGAGCGGACAAAAGTCGGACCGGGAGCGAGAACATGAATCTTGTGCCGCTCGAGCAGACTATCCTATGCCATCACAAGGAGGAATATATTATTTCGAAGTGACCATTTTAGCCAGAAAAAAAGAAGAGTACTTTTCTTCTACTAGTTGATAAATTTTGTTTCTAATACTGTGCTAGGAGCTCTCTCGGAATTGGATTCTCTAGCAAGAAAGTTCCTCTGACAAGGTTACCAGGATGGGAACCTGAATCTTGGGCATATCACGGAGACGATGGAAACTCATATAGCTCCCAAATAACGGGAAGGACATACGGGCCGCCATTTGGCGCAAGTGATACCATAGGATGTGGTATTAATTTCAGAGCTAGCACTGCCTTTTTCACGAAAAATGGAGTTGACCTAGGTATGTTATTTCGCTGGCCCTGGCTTTTACATGTCATACCCAAGAGACTCAATCTGGGCTGATATGGCTCTAGGCGTTGCTTTTCGAGAAGTTAAGGGTAAACTGTATCCTTCTGTGGGTATGAAGAAACCAGGAGAACACATCCGCGTGAACTTTGGGCAAAGCCCGTTCATCTTTGATATTGATGGCATGATGAAAGTAAGTCTGATTTCCCTCATGTTAATCCTGAACTCGATCACTTCACAGGAAAATCCTGGCCATATCTATAACCACGATCTTGCAAAAATTCCTAGTCTCATCGTTCCTTTTCGATTCATTATATCTTGGAGGCGAATTTTCTATTCCTACCCTTAGCCTTATTTTCTTGCAAATGATTGGATTATATCAGGAATGATCTGCGCTGGAAATCCAGAACTACGCTCTATAAAACGGGGAAAGTAAGCGAAATTTCCTCTCGCCAAGCTGAATCTTTGAACAAGATCTCATATTTAAAGATGCAATGTTCGAATTCAACTAGCCTCAGCTTCCATCCTATAGCCCGAATATTATGAAATGGAAAAAATAATATGAACTCCACCCTCATCAACTATTTAAACTTGAAGCTTGCAAGTACTGCAGGTAACCTACTCCAAATGTGATGGAGCTGGCAATCAAAGCGATCTGGGCTAAAGGTTAGGGATCTATAAACCTTCAAAAAATACAACACTTGGAGATCACGAAAGTCTACCTAGGGATCAATCCAATGACTCTGATTACGCAGTTGATAAATGGTCAACCTTAGATATAAACAGGTCATCCCAAATTTGCTGATAATATATTCTGGATTAATTCGAGATATACTGCACGCCACTTTAATAACCTTACTTTATATTATGACTTCTTATATATGAGTCGGCTCCACAGCTTATTTTTCAACAATCACATTAAAAGCTATCGTATTCTTATGACCTTCCTTACTTCGATGGTTAAGTTTTACCTAAATCCAGTCAAAGGGATTACATGAAAATGAGAATACAGCGAGAATAACGTTCGATTTTCTCTCCTTCCCCAGAATACCAAGAATAAAATCAAAATCTTAGTTCTAAAAACGGCTGGAATTCGACGCAGATATTTTTTGATGGAATTATGCTGTGTGACACAATATTATCCACAACTGTGGCTATCAAGCCTGATAAGCCGGCCAGCTTTACTCGAGATGCTTGCATTGCTTCCATCACTTATAATATTCTCATAAATGAGGCTACTATGGGGAGAAGAAAAAATCAATTAAGTCGGTTTACTTCAGTCGAGATTTAAGAGCCAACTTAAGCCTACACATAAAAATTATCTCATTTTCAGCTTGTTCATATATATTTGACTGACGTAAGCTCATAGTGCGAAAGATGTTTAATTGAGAATGAAGTCAAGCTTGCAAGGTAAAACATTTTACACACTGTATTTCTAGAACAAGGCTCACACTTTCCAAAGCACTTCAAATCTATCACCCCCGCTACGCGAAACGGAGTTGATACAGGCACTGGTACGTTGAGTCAAGTCAAGATGATTAAACGAATTTCTAATGGGTAAGGTGCTTCAATTCCTCGTACACGATGGATATGTGGAAACGGCTCGGGCATTTGCGACAGAGATTGAGACAGAGAAAAGAGCATTAAATCTAGATCCGGCAACTGTCATACCAGGCTTTTGCATTAAAGATGATGAAGATGCTACTCATCGTCAACGTAGGGTTCTTAGCTTTACTTGAGACAAGTTTGCACTGACACAGATAGGGATTAGAAATGCAGTGTTAGATGGTGATATCGACACTGCTCTAAAGTACACCAATCTCCATTTTCCACAAGTCCTAAAGGACAATGAGCAAGTGTATTTTCGTCTTCGATGTCGAAGGTTCATTGAAATGATTCGTCATGCATCTGAAGTGCAGAATCAGCAGCCCACAAATGGTGCATCAAAAAAAAGTGATAAGTCAATCGACCAGAGAGAAGATATTAATCATGTCATGATAATGGATGAAAATCAAAACCACACCAGAGGAAAGGACCAGCCAGAGGTGGAACAAACTTTGATCAGTAATGCGGAACACACAAGGTTACTACAAGAAGCTATCCACTACGGTACAGAACTATCGGCCGAATTCAAAGATGACTCGCGGAGAAAGGTGAAAAAAGCATTAGAAGATGCGTTTGCGCTAATTGCATATCAAGAACCTTCGAGTGCCGAAGGAGTAGCCCACCTGCTCGATCCGAGTGGACGTATAGCAGTGGCGGAGGAATTGAACTCGGCCATTCTACGTAATCATGACCTGTTAAATTTAACTAGTTAATATTTGGAAGTACTGACAGACTTGTAGAATCTCTTGGAAAGTCATCATCAGCTGCTCTCGAGACCCTGTTCCAGCAAACATCAGTCCTTCTTGATGATCTTCGTGAGCAAGGAGGTTCAGCTGCTGCTTTTCTCAATATCAATGATTATTCAAAGCCCAAGATGTCTATAAGCTAGTAATATTGACAATAGATACGGACTTTAAGAAGTCTACAATAACCGACTAAAGTTAAATACCTCTTTACAAGCATTCACACCTAGTCTAGTGATACGAATATTATGTGGCCGAGGACTACAAAAAGTATATCTATCTTCGAATAACAAGGGTCAACCCGGATTACTTGAACACTACGGCTACAAAAACGATGCTTAGTCTATCAAACTTAATACCTGCCAAAAATCTCTATCAGGCTTCTCATTATCTTACGACCCTTTAGAGGAATGATTTGAGCTTATAAGCGTATAGTATAAACAGGACAACCTCGACCAGGCACCCTAGGACTTAAGGTAAGGTGCGATCTAGTTTAAGTTTCGCTTTGCGTCGAGATTACATAGGATTTGTGGTGGACCTAGTTGTGGTAGATAATTGATGAGCCATTATTATCTGCGTCAACTGAATTGCCTTTTCAGTACTAATATTGCGTACCACAAAAATAAATAATTTAGAAAAATAAATAGAGTATACACAGACATGTGAAAGTAGTCTATCGAATCCCTTGTTGTGTGCAGCTCTACCGCCATCGATCATAACGTTCCAAGGTGAGTTACGACGTAGAGTTTGATACAGATTTGAATGGAGAAGAGTTCGAATAATCTTAGTCAGAAAGTTGCGGATGTATATATTACTCAAAATTTGATCAACATTGAAGGAGTTACCGCATCCTCGATGAATCTATCGACCCACGCGTACCCACTTCACGTTTTAAACTTCTAGTCTTCATGTCAATGACGATAGTTCATAGCTGTGTTCGTTTTGCTACCTCAAAATCTAGGTTAAAATCGGCAAGAAATGCGCATGGATTTCTTAGTGGTTAAAAGATTCATTTCATGACAAGAATTTCAATAAGAAACACAGCACATGTGACAAGCTGCTCGAAGCAACGACTTTGGCCCGTCGAACTTTTTGAGCTGGTTCGGAAGCTTTGATCATTGAGACCGGAGGAAACTGGAAGAATAGCTCGCACAGAAGCTATAATTTGAAGTGTGCAGAAAAATATTTAACAGTCTATCTCTCTTCCTCTTATCTCTCGACTTAGATCTCTACACATACCCATTACCTCAGATATAATGATAATATCTAGCAATAGCTCCCTTACATCACCAGACAAAACCCAAACATATTATAGCCTAGAATCAATTCTAGAATGATTCAATACCAGTCCACCACGCCTGTATGTACATTTTTTCATTAAGTTGCTGGGAAATTGACACCCTCTGGACTTCCATGGGAGCTAAAGCACGAGTGTGGCCGGGCTAGATCAGGTCAACTGCCATGTAAGTACGAGTATGCCTCGTCCCACCTAAATGACTGGAACCATGCCGAAATACATCCAAGGATTGAATCACGACGAATCCTGCAGTCCAGAATGAAACCACGGAGAAATAAACGTCCACGCAGAGTCTCGCCTTACAATTTTTTTTTAGTAATCTCCCACCCATTATTCTGCCACGGCCACGGCGCGCCCGAGCCTCGATTCCAATCCCTCTTTCCACACTAGACCGACAGCCCAGGAGGTCTATGACTTCCGACTCGCACGTATCCCCGCTACCCCTCGACTAGCCACTGCGTATATTCGGCTCGCCTAGGCATAGTCCCTCAACACCTGCCATCTCCTAGACCCGAGCAGGACCACCAGCGAAGCTGCCCTCCGTCGTCCGCTCCTTAGTCGCCATGTCGCCAGTGCTTTCCTACACTCGACAAGGTGACCGATTGGTCTCCCCTCCCGCATTCGCAGTGTGGCGGTAGTAGGGTTGAAGCGGTGGTATAACGTCGCGAAGTCACCATATTCTGTTCGGGTAGCGTCCAAGCCAGCGTAAAGCGTCCTCTGGAGCGCCACTTCTGCCGGCTTCTCACGTCGCATCTCGAGTTCGAGGTTGGCGCAGCATTTAGGGCGGTTTGAGTGCCGCCGGCCCATCAGCATTTGCCCAGGCAGTTCGCGAGCATGGCGTCGTGACGAAGCAAGGGTCATTCTATTACGCGTCGTCCTCGTGTCGTCTGGCGAGTCGAGCTCTCTTCCAGTAAGCCTATCGGCTATCTCGTCTATAATAGCCCTGGGTGTCCAGAGATCCAGGCTACTTTTTGTTGGAAATCTAGAGCTAGTATGAAGGTTTGGATTTCCAAGTCTGATCATCAAGATCAATTGAATTGGTTCGATTGCTACTGGCTAAGCTGCGCTGGGCGACGTGAGCTCCAGTGGTCTCTGAAATACAGGGGCTGGGAAATGCTACCTTGCCATAGTTGAACGGCTGGTTGTTGCTAGATCATAAGGATTTTGGGATCACTAAAGCCTCGGGGATCTGTATTTAAGGATAGACTTATTTGTATGGTTGAATTTGATTTCATTTAGCCCCATGAGGCACCCTATGGGTCCATGCAGATGACTATCTTCATTATTTACAAACGAGGAAACCAAGTTGGTGTAAACCCCCTGATCCCTTCTGTTTATATTCCTATTAATTTATTTGGTTTACCTTCAGGAAGTGCAGTGTACACTGTTCAGCCAGTGTGGATTCCGTCCTCTCCCTTTCCAGACCGATTTATTCTATCCGACATTGCTGCTTCGACTTCCCCTGCAAGTCGAAACTGTTTTATCCACCCTTTGCTTGGTATCCACTGTATGATTCTAGCCACATCTTCTGGCCTGTTCATCATGGCTTCGAATGACCTCTCTTTAGCTTGTCGGAGAAAGTCGCCTCTTCCATTTGCCCACTGCGGACACGCCAACACCATGTGCTCGACGTTTTGCGACGGATATCCACATTGACAGCTTGGCTTTTCTACTCCGGGTTATTTTCTTCTGCACAGGTAAGAATTGAGTCCGATTTTCTCGCTTCATAGCTGAATGACGACACTGATTTGGGCCCTGGTTGGGTTACGGTGGACGTTTAAGGGTGTATCTTTGAAGTCAATTTTGGTGCTGCCTGTTTGTTCATCAGTAGATATATTTGCCGCTTTCTAATGTTCTGGATCGGCTGATGCTGGTCGGCCAGAGCGGTGTTTCCTGATCTGGCTTGTCCATGAATCCTTCCACTCCTGAAAGGCCACTATATTTCCAGCTTCTTTCTGCCTCCCCTTGTCCTTTATCCTTCCGCAAGTTCTTGTTCATTCGGCGATATATTTACTCTTATTCGAGGCATGCGGAGTTTATCTGCCGTTTGCGGGCAGCCTTATCCTCTTACATGTCGATCTGATTGTCTCTTGAACTGGTAGTCTAGCTGATAGTCCGGTGTACTGGACCCTCTTTTGTTTTAGGTATATCTCTATAAGGAGGACGGACGATTCGTGCTCTAGCACTCTGCTGCTAATAGAATTGAAGGCACCTGCAACAAAATTTAAGGATTTTCTTTGAATACTCCTGAGGGCTTTCACTATCCTTTCGGGTATCTTTCCTGTTGGCCTGGCCTCAGCCCATATTGAGGACCCATACCTAAGGGCCAGTCTCACTATTGAGCTGTATAGCAGCTTGGACTTCACAAATGTATTGTGATTTAAGAGCACTGGACAGTGGTTGGGAGTGGACTTAGACACAGAACAATAGTTGATGTCACAGGTAATCTATGTGAGATGACTCAGGAATGGATTATATGTTCTAGAGTATGAATATGAAGAGATGTGAATGCGTGTACGTCACTGTGGGCGATACTCGACCACTTATCTATCTACCGTGGTGCCACGGTGTCAAGTTTGTAGTGGGGCTATGGCAGGGGTTTTAGCGTGTAAAATAAGACGCCTTAGGCATAGTCACCTTCCATATTGGAGTTAGCCCCCGTATTTGTGCAATTTTTCGAAAAAGTTTTGTATGGCAACTTTTTTCTAGATGCCATAGTTTACAGTGGATCTTTCACTCGTACTAAACCTAATTAGTATAATGATCGGCTGCATAACATTTGTGCATTTTTGTTACTCGACTTTATAAATTATGTTGTTATTTATGCGACAGTGGAGTTAAGAGTATACTGCATACCAGCTATATATTCAGCTGCGTGTGGATACTTGCTCTCGAAATCAGATTCCTTACAATATAAATATATATATAATTTATTGTGTGTATTATAACTACAACTATTGGTGCTACTTTTCTTGTTCTTACAATTATCTACACACTTCACAATTACGGAAAGTGTGGAATTCTAAGCGAGGCACTTGATACAATCACAGATTTATCGCATGACTTTCAACAAATTATTTACAAGTGTAAGCAGACTTATGCAAGCATAAGTCCGAACCCAGCCCATAAGCAAAAGTACAATCTACACAAGCACACATCGGTCTAGTAGTGTGTCAGGATTGCCTTCTGCATAATCTATATATGTGGAGATAATTTGTTTCTAGTGTTCTATGATTCTGGTCTGGCCTTTTGGTCGAGCAGTTATGCACCTATCTCATGCATGATGTAGGATGGCGCCCTTTAGCCTGAATACCACCTCTTTGACCTATGTTTCCGCCCTGCTATCTACATGCTGCTCTGACATAGTGGTGATCCGGGGTGTTAATAGGGTAGAATTAGATATTATAGTGCTATGAGTCCACTGTAGCAAGGAGATAATTAATCAATTCATTCTTGTATTTGCAATCCTCTTTTGGCAATTCACGTGACATTTGCACGAAGACCTCTCTAAGTTTTACATGGTAGCATTATTCTTGGTTGATTAAACGAAAATTAGATGTTAGAAGACTCATCTGGAGCTTTGTTATATTGTGGACAAATTGATTGTGACAATTTTAGAGAGGATTCTTAATCTTCTGAAATGTCGGCCTTCGGATTATCGAAGGCGGATCGGGAAATCGCTGCCCAAGGCACCGATGTAAATCAGACTGCTGTGGAAAAGAAGCAATTGGGTAAAAATGTTGCTGGCCGCACTGGTAATGTGCCGGGAAACCTCAGCAATGAGTCCGACTTGGCATCAAATGATGGCAATAGCGAAAGCTTGAAGTCTGGATCGAAAGGCAAAGGTCC